ATTTTATTGTTAAGGTATTTTTTGTTGTATTGTAACCAATTAACTAACCTTTGGGATTTCCCTGATTTCGTATAAAATCTGGGTTTTGCCGATATCAATGCGTTTTGTTTCTTTTTCTTGACTTAACGGTAAAGAACCGGTCCAAAGCGGGCCATACGAATAAAGATTGCATTAAATTGTCATTAATTTAATTTTGGAACTAGAAATTAATTTTGCACATAGTATAGTCAAAAAAGGATATGAATCGGTGAGAAAAGCGGTACTATCTCGGATGGTTCTATCAGAACTTCCTAACTTAATATTATGAATACGAAAGTAACTCTGTCTGTATGTCTCGCTTTCGTACCAAAACTAATAAACCGATTTAAATAAAAATTTTGTACACAGACAATCTAGAGTCTGACATAAGACATAGGCTACTTTTTAACGCGCAAATAGGGTTGCAAAGAGTTAAAAGTGGGGGATGGAAGTTTGTATCGAAGTGTCGTCCTCCTTACACCTATGAATAGGGTTGCCAGCTCGCCAAACCTAATAGCCGGACAACCAGCCGACATTTGGCTAGAAAAGTGAACATCCTACATTATTGAGGATTATGTTACTCTTGTCGTCTGCGCTCGGCCACTGCCGTTTGCGAAATGTACAAAGCCTTACAAAAGCCGCACAAGCCGGACACCGTTTATTTTGGCCGGACACGCAATCAAAAAGCCTACCTATGTTCGACTTTATCCGGACGCCTGGCAATGCTACCTATGGAGATAGCACTCCGCCTTGTTATGACTAAGACCATATAAATATATCAAGAATATTGTTTTATTCTAGCATTGTTGATTTATTTATTTCCGCAGTTTTATGAGAGAATAAAGAATTCAAATTGCATTTACCTTGAATATTTTATTGCAGTCCTACCATCTTTATGTTATTAAAATTATAAACAATCGTTCCAACAATAGGGATATTACGAATCGAATCATTTAACCAACATGCAGTGGGCCGCGTGGTTTACAATAGCCGTGTCACCTCTAAGTGTAGGCTCCGAGCTCCTCAGTGGGACGTATAGTGAGCTGATGATGAGTAATTTTCAATAGATACGATTACTATATGGTTATTTAATTGAGTTAGTAATAATGGTATAAGTAATTATCATTCAATTGTCTTAAATAATAATTGTTTATATTATCTGTGAAGTAACCCTTTTTTAAATAATTTGACAAACAAGTTTGACAATGTGTTTGATTGGCATTCATTCGATTTGTTGGTCAATATTGCTATGTGCACGTTTAGAATTGCCACTGTCCTCAATTTATGAATCTACTAGCTATCGCCCGCGACTTCGTTCGCGCTTTATTAAAGAAACTTAGCCTATGTGTTCTTCCAGACTATAATCGACATCTAAAAAAATCTTACCTGTTTAAAATGAGCAGTGAACCAAGAGCACCTCTTAGGTCTATATCGCTGATTTCCTTCAAGTAGATTGGCAGTACAATGTAGCAGGCGGAGCACGGTATGCCGGCTATACCACGGGCCAGTATCACTGCCCAGGGCTCCAGGCTTAGTAGCTTTATTTGCCAGTACGCCTGTTGACAAAGAAAACAATATTATTATGTATATATTAATTATCCGACATTCTTACGGTGAAGGAAAAACATCGTGATGCTGCACATATCTAAGAAGAGATTCAATGATATGTGTGAAGTCAACCCGCAGTGGGTCAGCGTGGTTCACTATGGCCTAGTTACCCCTAACTTAGGGTGGGCTCTGAACCCCTCAGTGGGGACGTATAGTGAGCTGATGATGATGAAACCTTGTAACAGAAGGTGACAAATAAGCAAGCGGTTACTTGGTATCGAAAAGCGAAGTGACCGCAGTCCAAAGACATCTGTAATCGCCTGCAAAAAGTTCAATTGAGAAGAAGTTCAGTTTAGGTATATGTCCCCTTTCAATCCGATCTGTCTACTCTTTCGAATTGATCCATATTAAAAAGGATGAGAAGCTTAATTCAAATGAAAAATAAGACAAGTAATTCACAAAATCAAAGAAATATTTAGAACGTCATGGAAATTCCGATCAAGTAAAAAATAGTCCGGATACAAATGACATCAGGAACGACAGATATTTAAGCATCGAAACAGATAAAAAAAACTGTAAAAACAATAACAATGGCCGCAAATAAAAAGTGACGGAATTTGTTTTTTTTTATGATACTGACATTCTTTATTTAAATAATTGATCGCTAGCTTTGAAAGATTTGTTTTTTGGCGTTCATTCATGCCAGTTGTAGGAAACTGTGGTTTCCTTTTTGACGAGTGAGCACTGTCCGTTTTTTTATCTGCATCAAAAAGGTTAGAAGTCCAATGACTTATGTTTAGAATCGCGTACTATTTATTGTGTAAAGTTTTAAAACTGATGTCTTATATTCGAAAATATTATGTGCTTTGACCCCTTTGTGGATATATTATCAAAAATACACATAACACTATTATAAGATCTTTTTTTATCTCGCGTGAAATATAGCATATATAAATTAATTTCCGTAATATGACGTATCATCTTAATTGGCATTAACCAAGGTCTAGAGCTAGTTTTAAAGTAGATTGAAGCTTTAATTTGTATATCAATGGATGTTTTAATAGTAATTATTCAGTTTTTTGTAGTATTTACGTATTTAACTGTTGAATAATAATTTATAACAGGTAAAATATATCGAGAGATTACTTGATGCACGTCACTAGAATCGATTCGTTTATCGATATCGAAAAGCTATAAAATATCAGAATTTGCAATATTTACATATTTTTTTACTTCCGTTTATATACTTATTGTATAATTTTTGTAGCAAATAAGTTTTTGAATGTCGAAACCTTGATGACTAGACTTCCTTGTTTAAATTTTTTTTTTGAATCTTATTTGAGAATATTTATAAAGCATGGTCAATCTGACTAGTCATAGATTATAGATATAGAGATATATGTTACTGTTACTGTTATAAATGCGAATGTTTGGATGTATGGATGAATGGATTTTTATTAGAAAGTCTCCAGAACGGGTGCATAGATCGCGCTGAAATTGGCGTAGAACATAGTCTGGAAGAACATAGGCTACTAATTATTTTTTTTTATTCCGTGCGGACGTAGTCGAAGGCTACAGCTAGACCTAACGATAAAATACTTAATCCAAAGCACAAAGTGAAGACAAGAGGATTCCGAAGGTTTTATGTTGGAGTAAAATTTTGAATATCGACCTTTGATTACGCATCAAATTTGTATAAAACATTTCATTTATAGGACGTATCTATAGTTGTAGTCAATAAAAAGGTTTTATTTATTCCATTCGAAATATTTAAATATTTACGTTTTATGAATGAAATACATGTTGCTAATGAACCTTGACTATTGCAAGTTCAAGCCAATTAAATAGCCCAGGTCGTACGCGTAACGGCGTTTCGTAAAATCCAACTAATCGTAAAATTCATACCTTTTCTGCTATTTATAGTTTTTATGTTGATTACAGAAATGCTAAACATACTATTTGTAGAACTATAAAACAATAAAATCCTGCATTTGATTACATCTTACTTGTAATACAAATGTTTATATGGATGTTTGTTTAAATGTATCTCCAAAACGGCTCTATAGATATCATTGAAATTTGGCACAGATGTAGAACATAATCTGGAAGAATGTTTTCTTCCAGACTATGTTATTGTCTATGCTAATTATTGAGTGTTTTTTAATTCTGCTAGGACGGAGTCACAGGCGAATGATAGTCTTACTAACAATGCGAATATTTAGATGGATGTTTGTATGAAGTTATCTCCAAAACGACTGCATAATCTCGTTGAAATGAGATCAGATGTAGAACATAGTCTGGAAGAACACATAGGCTTATAAAGTTTTTAATTTAATTCCGTGCGGACAAAATGGGGGCAACTGTTATATTAAAGATTGTTACGATTCAAATATGCATAAGGTAAAAACATGTCTGTTGAGTGTATTCATAGCGCATCTTCTCATTACATTTATATTACAATCTTTTTGTTTTTATTATCAAGTATTACCGGTCTAAGATAAACATGTAAAAAACTTGCTGTACTTCGACCTCTATGTACTTATTCATTTATTATTTCTATATACTATGTTATTTTCTTGTGAAACATGTAAATAATAAGATGTGATTAACTTAACATTCATTGATCATCAGTTCACTATACGTCCCCGCTGAGGGGCTCGGAGCCTACCCCAAGTTACGGGTGACTAGCCCATAGTCAACCACGCTGGCCCAGTGCGGGTTGGTTGACTTCACATATATCATTGAATTTCGATCACTCACGATGTTTTCCTTTAACCTAACAACGTCGGATAAATATACTTATGTTAATCGGAAATCGAAAAACACATTGGTACATGGCGGGGTTGGACCTGCAGATTGCATGTCAAGTGCTTGACCTCTGAGCCACCAACGCTCTTCCTAACATTACTAACGACGACGCTCTTTTAAACAAACAAACAATATCAACAATCCTTTATTATATTAATATAGATAATGTAGAAATAGTTTTTTAATTGTTTCATCTATATCGTAGAAAGACGGGACTTTTTGCTAAGTCAATTATTACGAGAAAGGCTTTCGGGAGTCCAATGTTTAGCATTAGGCAGATAAAAGCTGATGATGATGATGAATTACTAAAGACAAAAATATACTTACAATAAGTGACAAAGTGGTGATGAGTGTCATTATTTTCCGACCGTACCGATCTGTCAGATATCCCATAGGCGCGCCGAATATGATAGCGGTAATGTAGGTGACTGAAGTCACCCAGGATATATCAGTGCTGGTGAATGGCTCCGGGGACGGACCCTCGGGAGACTGCAGCACGGATATCATCGGAGATAACCAGCCCTGTACCATACCGAAGCTCAGCAATGGTATTGTGACTGGAAAGAAAGAAACACGTACTTAAAAGTAAAGAAGAAGAAAGAAAAAGTTTTTATTACAAGAATTAAAAATTAAATCAAAAACAATAAAAATTACACCAATCTGAAAAATTCAATTTAACTTGATGTTCAATAACCAAGTGTAAATTTGGACTTTGTACTCTCATAATAAGAATCGAATGACGTCACATTTCATAATTCTCTATCAAACATCTAAAAAACTGACGTTTTTTTTATAAAATTTTACGTTTATTTCATCACAATACTAGCTGTCGCCCGCGACTCCGACCGCGTGTTTGTCTAAAAAATAAAAATTTAGGGGTGAACTACCCTTAACATTTAGGGGGATGAAAAATAGATGTTGGCCGATTCTCAGACCTACTCAATATGCTCACAAAATTTCATGAGAATCAGTCAAGCCGTTTCGGTGGAGTATGGGAACGAAAATTGTGACACAAGAATTTTATATATAAGATGAAGGAAAATCGTTAATACAAAAACCATAATAAAAATACTGAAAATTATATTAATGTTGAAACAACTTTTCCTAACCCAAAATATTAACCTTAAAATCGTCAATAGCCTAATTTAAGGGTACGGATTTCCGATCACGAGGCCGGGGGATTCGAATCCCGACATTCAACTGTCGTGAACCATATCCTATCACAAGCATAGAGTTGGAATGGTAAAAGAGATATTAGTAAATTTACAAAAAAAATCTACTAATATTTTACAAATAAAAAAGAAAACCTTAAAATCACAAAAGATACTCAAAATAGTTACGTAATGTGATTTAAAATTAACTTTACATGAGTCATGATAAAGATATGACTCGGTTAATGTATTTTATAATAAATTTAATCAATTTTATTGTGCTTAATAAGAAAAGCAATAAAATGTTTTTCGACTACGATAATATTTATTTATAAAGTAGTAATAAAAGTGCTCTCACGGATATTGTCAGTTTTATATCAAGGAAGGAACTTTGTTAATTGATTTAGGTTGATTCAAAAGGTCGGTGGCTTAGGGGTCAAGCACTTGACTTGCAATCTGCAGATCCTGGGTTCGATTCCCACCATATACCAATGTTTTTTTCGATTTCCGATTTACATATGTACATTTATCCGACGTTCTTACAGTGAAGGAAAACATTGTGATGCAACCTGCACATATCTGAGAAGAAATTCAAAGATATGTGTGAAGTCAACCATCCCGCACTTAGCCAGCGTGGATGACTATGGCGTAATCACCCTTAACTTAGGGTAGGCTCCGAGCCCCTCGGTGGGGACGTATAATGAGCTGATGATGATGATGAACTGTATATAGTAGTTATAAGTTGTCAATAATCGTTATAATTTCACATGTTTATTTTTAAATTTGCTTCCAATTATATCTATTTACTGATTACAATATCAAATATTTGATTTAAAGTTTAGAGGGTGATCTGTTTTATACTTCTTCCAATTTTTTTTCACCCGGAGATAGTGTAGCAACAGTCAAAGAACTTCATCGGTTCAGTAGTTTTGGGCCTGTTCAATGCAAACAAATAAAAATGTTCTCTTTATAATATTAAAAAAATGGTCTTGACAGACAGACGGACGGACAACAAAGTGATGCTATAAGGGTTCCGTTTTTATCCTATGAGGTACGGAACCCTAAAAATATAGATGTTTGGATTGGATCGAATCAATGATAGTTTATTGATTTTATTTATAAAAATAACTTTTCTTGAGTTTTATTGTTTTAAAAATATATTAATGTGTCTTTGCTTCGTTTTATTTTATTTTTTATAAATATCATTTGGCCTTCAGATCACGAAAATAAATATGTTTTGTTTATTTTTAAATATAAAAATATTTTTTCAAATTTTGGGGGAAACGAACCCATTAATGGCAACACTCAAGTAACCATTAGGACTTATACAGACTATACAAAGAATTTCAGAACAGTTTTAGCAATAACCTGTGAATACTAATTTATTAAACACGAATAGAATTCAACACAAGCTTGTGTGAAGAAGAAAGCTTCTTAATAATACAAAGAAACTGTTAGGCTTTAATAAAATTATTTTTTAACTGTCGCACGAGACTTGATTTCGCGTGGAATTAAAAAGAAAAAACTTAATTAGTAGCCTACGTGTTCTTTAAATTTCATCGAGATCTGTTGACGCGTTCTACAGATACCTTCTAACTTCCATCCATCCACACATTTAGTAAGATACTAAAAAAATGTTTTACATACTAATCTGGTTAAGTGAATAATGAAATATTTATTTAGTTGTTTGTGTAACTGCGTCCTTATGTGTAACAAATTTACAGACATAAATCAGTCTCCATATGATACATGAATTTACGGTTTTTTATTATAAGTAAGCCAAGAAAGTTATGAGAACCAGTTTTCGATTCTTTAACAAATTATTTAGAGACGCAAATCCTAAATACGACTTTCACCTAAATAGTTATGCCAACAGCATGTAAATATTGTCGAATGGCGAAAGAGGCGCCATTCGACCTCATACCAATCCAAATTAATTCGCCTATACTCTGTTACAGTTATAGCCAATCGAAATGTTATTTTTTATCTGTATTGTGGACTAAGCAGGTCGAATAAGAAACGTCCTTGAGAAAAATATTTTCATATTAATTAAAAAAAACAACAAATTGAATATATAAAAATAGTAAAGTTTATAAATTGACGCAATTACGTTACAATTTATTAAGTCATTCAATTTTTCTGTACTACGCTGAGATATTACCAATATGTAGGTGACAGAATATTTTTTGTTATTCTTATTATTTACGTAAGATTGTTTATTTAACTAGCTTTTGCCTGCGAATTCGTCTTCGTCAAATTATAAAAACTTAGTAAGTAGCTTATTATGACACTAATCTATCCCTATGTTAACTTTCTTTCAGATAAATTTACCATTTTATTTACGTGCTAACAAACATTCAATTATCCATCTAAACTTTCGCATTTATAATATTAGTAGGATAGTAGAATTATACCAAAACTGTTGTGAAGATCAAGACATGGTACAAAAAATACGGAACATAATTTCGTTAATATTCCATCACCTTTTTATATATAACACTAGCTGGTGCCCGCGACTCTGTCCGCGCTGGATTAAAATAGATGTTGGCCGATTCTCAGACCGACTCAATATGCACACAAAATTTCATGAGAATCGGTCAAGCCGTTTCGGAGGGGTATGGGAACGAAAATTATGACACGAGAATTTTATATATAAGATTTATCCTTGCACGTGTACGCATACCTACAATAAAACAAGTCGAAGTTTTTTTTTTTAATTGAAGGCACATTTATCATCATATAGTTCTTAACCAAAACTGACACGACAACCCTATATAGAGTATATATGTAGGGTTGCCGTATCAGTTTTTATCCACCATATTGATCTATCGTCATTTCAGTCACCACTCCCTTCTTGATCATGTCACTTTTCACGCGATCTGTCTCTTCCTAGGTAAGGTACCTAGTATTGTGTTCAGTCCCGTTGCGTTCTATTGAAGATCCAGGGACTCTCACCAGTCTAGTGCCACCAAAATCCACGTTTAAATAAAAGCATGTTGTTATCTCTGTTATGTCAAAGATAATAACAAAGATGACGATATGTGTTATACAGATATTTCGGTCTTAGAAACCCAAGTTAGTCAAGTGTCACATAACCATGTATTTCCCCCCGAAAAAAGGGTAGTGTACCTAGTATAGGTCTATTTATATTGAGAGTTATAAAGATTATGATCTTTAATCAAATTAAAACATGTATTTACAAGATATAAATGCATTGTTATTTTAATTTGTACATGAAAATATATGATAAGAATATACGTGTGTCGTGACAGGATAATATCATTTTAACGATTGCAAATGATTGTGTACGTTTCAATAATTACATTTTAATAATATAAATAATTTATTTGTGATTGTGGGAAATTGATTTCACAGTTCTTGATTATTTATATCTTACTATATATTATAAATGCGAATGTTTAGATGGATGTTTGAAGGTATCTCCTGAACGGCTGAATGGATCACGATTAAATTTGGTCTAGGGGCTCGGAGCCTACCCTAACTTAAGGATGATTAGGCTATAGACAACCACGATGGCCAAGTGCGGGTTGGTTGACTTCCTTTGAATTACTTCTCAGATATGTATGTGCAGGTTGCATTACGATGTTCTCCTTCACCGTATGAACGTCGGATAAATGTACATATGTAAATCGGAAATCAAAAAACACATTGGTACATGGCGGGATTCGAACTCAGGACCTGAAGATTGCAAGTCAAGTGCTTGACCACTGAGCCACCGACGCTATCTTGGCTTACCCCTGCCGTTATTAATTGAAGATTCATTATCCCATCTTACAGTTGGTTTGAGACTAAAATCTTTGTATGAAATATATTGTCGTCCCTATCATTATCTTTGACAAAATAGAGATAACAATATGTTTGAAAAGGTCACTAAGTTACTACGTAATATCATGTAGATGAAAAAACAAGTTGTAGTAAAAAAAACCTATTATCCGAGTAATCTCAACAAGTAAACGGCACAGAAAATATTTTAATCCATTTGAATTTTGAATTTTAATATTAAAAAAAAAAATAACAAAAAATATTACGTATTTTATTCGTATGCCAAAAATTATATACAAACGTACCGTAATGTCATGCATATTAATAGTGAAATAGTCTGATTTACTAAAATAATTAACCTCGAAATTAATTAGAACATTTTAACATAAATTTGATTGTAAACAAAACATTTTGTCGTATTTTGTTTCATTGTGATTATTTTTTATTCACTATTCATAAATATTAAATACTAGATGTCGCCGGCGACTCCGTCCGCTTGGATATATAAAAAAACTTAATTAGTGTAACACATTATAATATTAATAAGTTAAATAAAAGCAGCTCTCCGAGGCTTTCAAATTCGAAAAAAAGAATAAATAGTATCCTATGTCCGTCTCCTGGCTCTAAGCTACCTTCTCACCAATTTTCAGGCATATCGGTAAAGCCGTTCTTGAGTTATAAATAGTGTAACTAACACGACTTTCTTTTATATGAATAAAGATAACGAAAACATATTTCATTATTTTGTCAAAAAAAAACAATGTTCATTTTAAAGTGTAGGTAGACGAAAATAGTTCACGATATCAATATAACTGTAAGTATTTATTTGATTTAGTATTTATTTTATTTCTTCCGTTAATTATATTATTTTATTAATTTTTATTACAATAAAAAAATAAAAATAGAAAAAAAATATTTAAAAACTTACTTATCGTCGCAAATAAATATTGATTAATTCTCGTTCCATTCTGCCACATAAATTTTGATAATATAAAATTCATTTCACTTTTTTTACAACTTTGCGTCACTGTTACTCTGTTCATCCGGACACTTTGGTGTCTACAATCGGACTGGTCGTCGCAATGAAAACACGGTCGCATCTTAAAATCATACGCTCGTTAAATGTGCGTCCAATTTTTTTTTTACTAAATCACTATTGTTCTCAAACGTGGAAGTAAACAAAAAAATGTTTTCGAGTTTTATTTAGTATAAAATATAAAATAATACACTTTTTATTACTGTTTTATCAGCTAACGTGACGTCATCAATTAAATTTTATAATTTTTCAATCGCTTAATTTAGTCTCTTTCTATTTATTACAGTAAGTATGGAATATACGTGAGGCTTTTCTGCGTAGTATTTATTCTTTGACTCGTATATATCTATGTACATTTTATAAGGTAATGTCACTTCGCCGTGGACTGCTGTGTCAAAATATATTTCTCTTCTACAATATTTCTCAAAGTCTATTTCTATTCTATAATATTGTCTTGATCTTTGATAGATTAATGGAGTACTCATTTTGTTTAAATTTTCAGAAATATCCTGATGTTCGGTGAATTTGAAGATAAGATTCAATGATTTTATAACCTTAGGAAGTTTGATTTCGGTAAGTTATAAATATATAAAATATAATTTGAAGTAAAATAAGCAAATTTGTGATCATTCCGATAAATTACAAATCATCCTTGATTGTTTTCATTTGCTAAATATGTCCAATCTTGGCTAATACCCACCTTTTTTATCAGTTTGTAAATTTCTTTTTCACCAGTTTTTTTAAACTTATGTTTTATTTATATTCCATGATAATTAAATATTTTCACCTTTATTCTTATATTAATAACCTATATTCATACTCTCGCATTTGCTACTATACTTACAAATTATAAGCGTAGACAATCACTAAATAATTAAAATTATTCACATGGTTTTTTGGAATGAATTGTTTCGATCATTTTCTATGGAAATTAGTTTAGGATAATTAAATAAGATGACTTATAGTGTACTTAGAAATCCAAGATGTTTTTCATGAAATTGTAAATTTAATATTGAAAATTTTATTATAGATTTTATTTCTTTAATAACTATGGTATATTAAGTCCAACTTAAAAGTGGGACTGGTGACTGGACTGACGCAAAATTTGTGAGTGAGCGGGGGGCCGCATCCGCGAAATAATACCAGTCCCACTCACCCTGAAGAAGGGCCCCCGATGGGCTTGAAACTAGTCGGTACCGCCATCGGACGTATATACGTGAGTGTTTAGCCGTTTTTATATAAGTTTATTATAATGTCTCACGAAATTTTGAATAATTTAAAAGCTTTTTTTAACGCACTTGTATTGAGCGTGCGTTTTGTAATGGGTCAAGTGCATTAATTAGCATTATAGTTTTGTATTGATAAACATTGTATGTGATCAAACCTTTGACTACAGAGAAACGGACTAGGCAAAGAGCCGTTGTGTTAAATAAATTCTGAAACTTTTTACGAGGGGATGTGGTAAAGATGGTAACCATACATGTGTATACTGACCAAAACGTACGTATTTAAAAACGTATATTACTTAGAAAAATAAATTACTAACATAAACTTGGTAAGTATGAAACTTAATGTTCAATTTTATTTGACAGTAGGAAATGCGTCGAGCTTGACATGTCCTGTCATTTGAAAGTCAAAGGACAAGCCAGCGGCCAGTTTAGCGAACACCTCGAGCTTTGAATACCTGATCAGATGTAGGTAAGCGTTTAGTTTATAAGTATGCAAATATTTAAAGAATTTCATATAAAAAATGTTTGAGGTCAATATTTTTTTATTTATTTTTTTAATATTTATTTATAACACGTTTGCTGTAAGATAAACTTATACAATTTTTTATATGAATAATAAGAAGGTTATATTTTGTTATGAATTTTTTTCTAGTTATTATATTGAAAATTATAATTAAAAAGGGTCTTGACAGACTTTTTTTTTGTGCATCCTCTCCTCCGTCGATTGACAACGCATGGTAGGCAACGCATATGCAATTGCAATTGCCTATATCTATGGGTAACGGTCACTTCGCTATTTCAACGATATCAGGTGGCCGCTCGCTCGTTTGCCGCCTTATGATGTAAAAAAAAGACAGACGCACGGCAACATAGTGATCCAATAAGGGTTCCGTTTTTTTCCTATGAGGTACGGAACGCTAAAAATTAAGTGTCAAGTACGTTAAGTTCGTGTACGCAGCCTCATTGCCACTTTTGTTATAAGTGCAAAATCAAATCACTATGTAAACTGGATGACGATTAATTTATTTAATTTTTAACATTTCATCTGTACTGTTTTTATTAGCAATTTGCGCGTTTTTGTTGGACATATTCCATTTTGGTGAAATTTATATTTATATATATCATTAGTAACTACTTAATTCTTCCTTATCGTTACATACAAACGTCATATATGTACTGTATCGTGTTTGCATAAATAATTATATATTCGTTACGTCATAAAACATTTTTAGACTCTGCGACTTCGTTTACGAAGAAATAAATAATTGAGTAATATATCACATTATTCAAGAAAATGTGGATGCATGCTTTGCTCGGTATTTTTTTTAAAAAATTGTGTTATGCACAATAGTTTTCGATCTTACTGATAGAAAAAAGTTAAGTTTATGTTTAAGTTGATTATCGATAAAACACGAATAAAATGACATTTTCTATAAATGATTCCTAGCTAGATCCCGAAAGCCCCTATATACTAAATTTTATTTAAGGTTTAAAGAAATTAAGACAAAAAAATAAAAGAACAAAATATGGAGTTGCCTTGACACCTATTTAAAGGGAGCCAACTTCACAGAGGGTGCATTTGATAACTGGCTTTCAAGGCGTAAGGTCGTGTCAAAGTAGTAGTAGTAGAAGAAGAAGAAGAAGAAGAAGAAGAAGAAGAAGAAGAAGAAGAAGAAGAAGAAGAAGAAGAAGAAGAAGAAGAAGAAGAAGAAGAAGAAGAAGAAGAAGAAGAAGAAGAAGAAGAAGAAGAAGGTGTAAGAAACTCAGCCGACCCTCTGAATAGTTTTAGTAGGGTTAATGATGAGTTAATCTAGATTGGATAGCTATCCAATTCCATTAATAAATCAGATCCATTCAAGATTCTGTTATTTGGTACAACAAAAATTAATTCGATTTAAATTTATAATTACCAGCATTTAGACCAGTCTTTCCAAAAGTGGGCGATAACGCCCCCTTGTGGGCGCTGCAGGTCTCAAGTTGCGGGTTATAGTAAAATAATATATTATATACATATATAGGTCACAATAATTAATTAATTTAATTTGAAGTTATAGTGGTATTTAAATATGTGAAAATATGGGGGCGCTAACAAAATATTTATTCTCAAAGTGGGCAGTAGACAAAATAAGTTTGGGAGCCACTGCTCTAGAGGGTTGCCAGCCGAGACCCACGACCAAGGTAGAAAGTTCAGGGGACGTAAAATTCTCAGTTTATAAATTAATCGAAACTGATAACCTTACTTTTTAATTATAACAGTAAAATAAGTGGGCGGGGCGTTATTTACAGTTTTTACCTTGCCTTAAAAAAATCTAGATCCGGGTCTGATTACCTAGTCAGGGTAACCTATACCACGGGCCGCGGACGAGAGCGAAAGCGTGGCCGTGGCCCCGTCCCAATGCGTTGGCGGAACAGAGGGGTTTAGTGGGTATGCCTCCGCTATGGAGGAGAATCCCAAATAACTACCGCGTCCCCCCCGGGGCGCGGAGGATGCATAAAGCATTCCCCTCTGAAAAAAAAGGGTAATCTATAACAGATAATAAATATCTGTCATTTGTAAGCAGGTAGTTATAAATAAATCGCATCATTTAAACATTTCATAAAAATTGTTAGTTGTAGGTATAAGGAAATATATTAGTCGAACACAACTCTTGTTTACTTAAATATCTCTCTCATATAAAATAATTTATTAGTATTGTGAAGTAGTGTAATAATGGTATAAAGACGTATAATAGATTTAATTATCAAGAAAATGCAGAGTTTACGTTCAAAATATCGCGTTACTTCTTCCACTTCTATATCTGACATTATTGAGTAAAAAGGTATTGACTATGTCATTACGTCTATTTATTTATTTCTCTTCTGATGGTGATGATGATGAATCTATTTGGTAAGATGAATATCTTTTGTAATAAATCAATGTTGATTATTTCTATTGTGATAGGTAGAATTTATTCATTTTACTAACGTTATAAATGCGTATGTATATATGTTTGTTAGAAAGTATCTCCAGAATGGTAGCATGGATCTAGCTGAAATTTGGCATAGATGTAGAAAATAGTCTGGACACACATAAGCTACTTATTATTTAATGCCGCGCAGACGGTGTCGCGGGCGATGTCTAGTTTTCTATATTTTCATGCCAATATCATTGCCAGTTGTACGAATGTATGAACAGATTTAACACAAGCACTATTTTATGTTGAAATATAATTTATTTTATTGCAATATAAGTTTTGCTCTTGACTTTGTTTGTGTAAAATAATAATTATTTAAATTTTATGTATTATGAACTCTGAGAGCCGATTAATCATTACTTAAACATTCGCTTAGTTTTGGTTTGTCATTCTAGATTAAGCTAGTGTGTCATTCCCTTAGTGGCCATTTAGTGATACTGAATGCAGTAGCGTTTGCGTTTTAAAACAAATTTGCGTCTCTATATTTGTCTCTTTCTATCGTCTGGATGTTATATCTTCTTTCGCTTTCATGTAACGTATTTCCCTAAATGTGACGCGTCCTTGAAAATACTCAGACATACGAAAAATTTCTTTTATATATCATATTGCGTATAATTTATTTTAGAAGTGCACGTGTTTTTTTTTATTGAATTTCACATAAAATGTGTACATAAGTTGTAGAGTAAACATTTGAAATGTTAACATTTGTATTTTTATTCCTTATTGCGTTTGTTAATTTAAGTATTGAGGCTGACAAAGATGACGACTATCCGATAGGCGCTACGATCGGTATGTTTTGTTACCAAAGAGATGTTGAATAGTTATATAACCGCAACTCAGAGTTATTAAGTGGTCACTAAAGAAAGCCCAGGCTACAAGTAAATACATAAATCTACCAACTAGACTGTTTAAGTGACGATTAAAGGATTTAACACCAAACTACGACGACAACAAGATGGGAAATTAAAAAACTAAAAAAAATTACTAACTAATGCACATTAATTTTACGTTATTGTAATCCACCCCTTACTCGGTAGGCTTCGAACCCCTTAGTGGAGCTCAGTGGGGAGCTGAGGGGAAAGCTGATGACATAGTCAACTAATTAAAATATTATACTTAAGGAACCATAGCAGCTGAAAGAGATATAGAAAGAAGAAGAAATCGTTTAGGACCACTCAGTCGGCCTAAGAAGGCTCTGAGAATCCGCAATGAATTCATGGTGAAGAACCGAGAGGCGTTACGGATCAAAGGCGGCAATGCGACAGACACAAAGAATTACCCATACATGGCTGCCATCATTATAAATGGCAGATTGTGGTGTGCAGGCACTATTATTGATGTTAACTGGGTTGTTACAGCTGCACATTGTCTTAATTAGTAAGTAAAACTAAATAGTTTGTAGTCTATTTTAACAGTGATAGAACCCGCTTTAACATCTTCACAAGAATTGGCCTGTTTGCCCGCGTTTCTTCCCCGCGTAGCTTCCCCTTCACTCTTGTCTTCTGTGTGGTCGTGGTATAGCACCGGACGAGCCGACACATTCATGCAACAGATATTTTGCTACCGACTACGCTTGTTTTGACGTTCTTGTAAAGTTATTAGTTTGACTTTGAACTCACTGTTGTTGTCAGTGTCCTGCACGTAGCTCCGCTGAAGGCGTTAGGCGAGTTTGTAAAGGTGCGCGTGGGCAGCGCGATGGCACACGAGGGCGGTGTGCTGGTTGACGTCATTGGCGCCGTCAGACATCCCAAGTTCGAAGAGGAACCGGTGCCACATGCGGATGTCGCACTTCTCAAACTATCGGAGAACCTTGGTATGTGTGGTTTGAAGACATGTTATCTATCGGGGAACCATCTTCAAGACACTCTTAAGGAGAAAATATAGGGTAACGTGAGACTTGATTTAGTAAAAATTCCCTTCGTAGTCATCTTCAAGAGCAGTTGGAAAGTCAGTGCAGTGTAAGATTAGACGTTAGGTTTGGACAATTAAAACCCTTTAGTCATTTTTGACTTTTAGAACAATATTTGTGGTATAAACGGTAACTTAAGCAATCCCTAAATGATATTTAATGACTGATTACGGCTTCTTTACAGAATTTGATGAATATATCAGCCTGATCAAGATATACGATGGCCTTCAGGAGCCGTATGCCCAAAGTTTTGTCGCTGTTTCTGGATGGGGTGCCACTAATGTGAGATATTTTTATTATTAGCTAGTTGTCGCCCGCGACCACATCCAAAATATAACTTAATTAGTAGGCTGTGTGTACTTCCAGACTATGTTCTACATCTATAACAAATTTCATTGTGATGTACGCAGCTGATTTGGAGATACTTTCTAACAAACATCCATCCGTACATCAAAATTTTAGTATTTATAATATTAGTAAGATTTATAATAGCAGTAGACGTTAGACTTTGATGTATGTGTACAAAGTTGTTTGTAGTTAATATTCTACGGGTTTGGATTGGATCGAAATGTTTGTCTGTACAGGGTGGGGACACTGCATTCAGAGATCAGACGCCGGACTTGCTCACTGCGAGGCTCAAAGTGCGAACTAAAAACTACTGCATCGATGCATATCAGCTCGTAAACGGCTTCCAGTTCACTGCTGACTTCTTCTGTGCATCACTTAGGAACGGCAGCAGGGACGCTTGTCTTGTAAGTAGAACAAAGTTCGAAATTTTTTCTTATAAACTTCTCTTAACGCGACATATTTTATAATATCACGTCTAAAAACATCGAAAGTCTAAGTAAAACATTGCAATAAAACACATTTATTCGTCTTTTTAATTTACTAAATATTACTTATTGCAAATAAGAAATAAGAGGTCAATTGTTCTAAATCCAAATCCAGCAGTTAATGTGTTTTATAAAAAAAAAGTTCTAATTTGTTTACAACAGTTTGACGCCGGAGCGCCCGCGATACAGAGGAACCAGCTGATGGGTATCATGAGCTTCGGCCCCGAGAAGTGTGGACACCCGCACCAGCCTTCCGTCTTCGTCAAAGCTTTCTACTTCAAGTGAGTAATTTTTAAAAAAGCGCCTAATAAAAAGGAAACACTTCAATCTGTCATGTTGAAACTTTGCAGATATTATTTTGTTAGGAGCACAGAAAAAATTGAAAAACTATGTGAAATGTGAAGAAAATGTGTACTCAAACCGATAAAAACTACTAACCACTAAGCAATAATTTATAATTTTGCAAAGATTACATTTTTATTTAGAGAGGTTCAGTATAATTCAATATAATTATTGTCATAATATTCTATGTTGCATTGCAGGGATTTCGTATCAACAACGATAGCGTCATACAAGACGACTCACGATCTCGTGGAGGCAATAAAGGAGATCGAGCCTGAGATAGCGGGGCCAGTGGCACGGCCTGTGCCTGAGCCGGAAGGGGAGACTGCCGACAGGCACTACAGTGAAGAGGCGACACCTGCTATTTAGGAATAAATCCAGTTTCCACTAACGCGAATAATAACAGAGCATTGGATTTGTACTTAATTAACATAAAAATTTAATACATTTTAGTCATAAGGTAATTTTATGTACTAACGCCTTAAAAAGGGCAAAATGTGCAAATAAATAAATTGCCACAATTGTTGTGGAAATAATTGCGTGCAATTAATAACTTAATGAAAAAAGGGTTTACGTAATCGTGCAAAATTTATTTTTAGGAACTTATAAGTAAACATAGAGTAATAAAACAACAGAGTGAACTTATTATTTATTTTAATACATAACTACAAGTGGTCACCGTACATAACGGTGACAATCATTGCCATTTTGGCGAGCTTAATTTTTGGTAGACTTAAATTAACACAAAACATAATTAAATTTAACACGCTACTGTGTTGTATGGGCATCGGAATAAATCACAAATAAGTAAAAACATGATTTTATACGTTTTTTTTGCAATATGTGTAACAAATTACACGATTAGACAATTTTCTTTACTTGCAACATATATATTATTTGTAATTCTCAAAATCCGATGTCCATAGACAATTACATAGTGTTTTTAAATTAAATTTCGTACACAGAAAATAGACCACAAATTAAGCTTAACAATTCTCCACAATCAGACATTATACGAAAAACTTACCTAATTAATGAAAAAAAAAACAAAAAACATACTTAATAGACGTCAAAATATAATAAAATAGAGACAAAAGTAATATTAAGCTTACAATACAGACTTTCCTCACTTATTACTCTGTTCCAGAATTAATACCAAAGCTCTTTCAAAGGCCCCATTCATACCAAGTTACAGCATATATTAAAAAAAACTGAATACAGAGTATCAAACATTCAAAGCTTTTAAATTATGGGAATCAAAAAACTAAAAACTTTAAAATTCTATTTAAAATTATAAAAAAAATGATATACAAAAATCCTTCCGCTTTTGGAAAGATTTACATATAAATTTTTGGTCTTAACATACCTTAAAAAACACTTAATCAATGCTAAATCAGAGGTCGTCAAAATTTCAAATTCAAGATCTTATTATTAAAAAAAATTACAAAAATCTTTTTTAAATAGATCTTAAACCAATCATAATTATTATAAAATTAAAAAACTTGCCGGCCAGAGTTTTGAGACCTCTAACTTAAATACAACTATAGTTAACTTACTACGAAGATCCACTGTCAAATAAATTGAATTAAATATATTTGTTTTTATTTCAATGAGAATCAACATGACTATGTCTCATTACAAGTATTCCAACAGTGGAAATTCAATTATAGACATCAATAACTAACACCGACAATTATAATAAAAGTAAGGAACATAATTATTATTTAATACTTTATAAAATAACTTAGACCATTTTAAAGTTAAAATTTAAAACTTGACGCAATAAAATTGTCTTTGAAGTCCACTAGTTAAGTTAGTTTCATCTAACTTATATATATCTTGTAGAAAACGATTATTTCTTAGTATATTTGAATGCACATTTATATACATGTATTTAATTTCAGATTAATTTGAATTAAATCATTCAGCAAACTAAATTAAATAAAAAAAAACATAAAAAGATATTGGAATTTGTTAACATAGTTAATACCCATCAGAAAAATGTAAGAAAAAAACATTTTTTTTGTATTATTTTTGTGACTAAATGCTTGAACTATTATTGAAATTTTTATATAGATTGACATTATTATACACTGGCAATTTGTAGTTAAAATTTATCATTTATTTTGAATGTATCATCAAAATTGTTGAGAAATGTACATAAGCCGTATATACAAGTTTCCATTTACTTTATAAATGTTATATTTTACACGAAATTTTACTCCATGATAACTTTTAAACTTTTCAACAAAGTAACCATGGGTTTTTGAGACCAGTATCCCCATTAAAATATATTGCTATCTCTATATTTTCAAATAAACAGGGATGACAGTTTTATACAGAGATTTTTGTCTCAAAAACCAATCGTTAGATATCTTGTCAGATAACAAGCCATTTTCTAGATCGTTCCAGAAAAATGCAAATTATGATAGTTTTTACATCTATAGTAAAACTAGATCCGTCAGTTTTGTTATGTGACGGACATAATTTTTTGTATACATTAGTGTGTTACATGAATCGTATTTTCTCATAATTTTATATTTGTCATACTTCAGTTTTGTAGAAACAATGCTATTAATAATCATAGACAATTGTATTAACAATTCATATTTACAATGTATGGATAGTGTGACTTAACCATTGGCTGTGCCGAAGAATGCACTACATATAGTCATCCCTTTCATTCTGTTTTGAAAGACAGAGATAACAATATTTTTGTACAGGTCTTTTAAGAGTGGAAAGTTAATAGGTGTAACCGTGTTTCCACTATATTTTTATAGTCATAATGGACATTTACTCAAAATATTTCAGTTTTAACGGCAATATATTTATAAGATTTGCTTTAATAAAGATAACAGAGAATTTTGTGATTTTTATTACTACAGCTGCTACATTTATTGTTTAAAATTGTAGAATTGAAAAAAGTAATAAAGATGTCTAAAATATTAAACAGAAATAAATATCAAGGGATAGTAGTTTAGAAATGATTTGGGAAACTAAATAAATAGGAGGATATTAGCCGACTTTCAAAACATCTTTGCTGTTAGTAATTATAAACAAGGAAATGGTGAGGTAATCAGGTTATTGTAACTAAACTACGAAATAAAACACGCGAATCTTCACAAAATATATTACCGTTAACACAGACATAAGTGTAATAAAAATCTACGTCACGTCACAAGCAGGAGAGAGTATGGAGATAGGTGACACAAAATTTATATATTAAATAATAAAAACATGATTCGAAATTCAATGTCCTTCATTATAGCATAGTGTTACAGTTATTGACCAAATAGTGTCTCTTGCAACACAAATTGCAAAATATTTTTTTTTATTTTCACACATTTACTTAAATGATTACAAAATTTTGGCTAAATATTGAAATATTTTAATAGAAATTTCAAAATATCACTTGCACTATGCTATAATGAAAAGAATAAGATTTAAAACAAATTAATTAATTACCATTGTAATACACATTGTAACAACTAACACCATACTCTACCTGGTGACGTTCACCGAGAGATCACTGTGTACACACGGCGTTGAACCGGGTCACACTGCGTTACATGCCGTCGCACTGTGTTACACGACATCACACTGTGTTACACGACGTCACATAGCTTTACACAATATAACACCGTGTCACTGTTACACAACACACCGGGTCATATGACGTCACACCGCGTTACACTGTATCACACCGCGTCACACCACGTGTCGCACTGACAGTCTATACTGGTTGACGCTCAGTCGTTGAGCGCACGCTTGGGTTGCGGCTCATCAAGGTCGGTCTCCGGCGGGTGCTCCAGCCCCGGCAGCATTATCTGAGTGTCCGATGCCTCTGATGGCTGCAAGGAGAAAAAACATTATTTTATACCGATTTAACTAAATCGAAGAGCAGATTATAAGGTAAAATATCTCGGATCGCTAATATCACTCCCAGAGATCACCGAAAATATCAAGTGATAGTAGATTCTTTGGAGAGTTGGATTGAGTCCAGGTCCTGCTTATATAAAGCCCATACAACTAACTTTGACAACTGATGGTAAAAAAGACTTTTGTATTTAAAAATCTATTTAGTAATATTGTTCTATGACAGTACATTTGATAGAAATATTACCTCTACATCGTTGGTGTTCTCGCGGTCAGGCACGCCGCGGATGCGCTTCTTAGGCGCGCGCTCCACCGGCTGCACCACCTTCTTAGCCTGGAACTGGAACAATACACAACATTATAGCTAAATAATGTAACTATGGTTATGTTGAAACTTACCAGAATTTATAATATTTTTTTCTACACATACAGTTGAAAAAATATATTCTTTCTGCCAAATTCATTTTCTCCCATCTTTTCCTTATAAAAAATGGTAGAAAGGGGTAGAGGATTACTGATAGGCATCTGTCACACAACATTGCAGCACAGGATAACTCATTTCATGCCTGTCATCAGCATACACTTGTGTCTGTCGTCTGCATGTTTTGGCTAATACTGTTGTATATATAATTTCCGGACACCGTACATACCTGTAGTTCCGGCGGCAGGAATATGCGCGTATTGACAAAGAAGTCCGGCTGCGGAGTGAAGTACATAGTGGGTATGCGCGCGTCAGTGGGGAATTCACGCATCTCATAGTTTGTGGAGCGCGACCAGATCACCGACATCGCCAGGTCACATACCGCCCACAGTTTCTGGAATATACGGTCAGAATCAATGGAAATTAGGAATTAAAACAAACTTATATAAATAATTTTACATTTATAAGGCTGTTATCACAGACTAATAAAAGAAAGACATGTCAAGACAATAAATGACATTGTCAGCCAGTGAAATGTGTAAATAAAACTTCTCATTTCCGTTGAAATCAACTACTCTGTAACAAATGATTATTTGAAAAAATACTATAAAAATTTAAAATACTTAAATCTTCCAAATGGATGTTTAAAATCATGCATTTTGTAACATTTTACAAATAGCAAAAAAAAATCCGATTACTAATAACTAACTAATACCTTCTACTAAAATAATAGACAATATTTAAATTTTTACGGTAACATGTATGTACTAACAAAGTTGAATGCGTCATCGTTCTCATGTATGGCATCCTTGTGGTTCTTCATGCGCTCCACGAGGTTCTTGTAGAAGCCGTAGCAGTAGAAGTCGTTACGTGTTATCAGCGGCTCCAGGATGAACCACAGGCACTGCTTTATCACCTGCAACAAACATACAGACAAACGTTAGACTACGATCTGTCAAAAATCTTTAGATTTTTTTGTTTAAACACTTTGTTGAACTGCTTTATTAACCTCCTCTCGATTTAAGAGCCATGACATCACAATATGATAATAGTTTGTACAGTTACGGAAATCCGCGGTGTTCCACTTACTAAAAAGTATGTTATTCCTTGTAATGAGATAAACTCCACCTCTCCATATAAATATCTAATTAGGTAGCAGTAAGGTGCTGGACTGCATAATAATAAACCGCAATTAATAGTGTACCACTAACCGGGATTTTTTCGTACATTTTCGGGATTATATTGCTATTAATAAGCTGCGTCCTATTGTTGCGCGTCGTCGTTTCAAAGTATATAAAACGTGCAAACGACAGTAGCTTAAAGTGGAACACCGCCAAATTCATGATATATCAAATATTTTACAATATGAATAGTGTTACCTTGAGCTGTGCGATGTTGTCGTACGCGGTGAAGGTTGGATCATGCGCCAACACCGGCACCGCGAACACCAGCATGTAGTCCGGCAGGATGTGCGGCAGCTGGCTCACAGCGCGCTCCACTACATACATACATCCATACATTAACCTATTCCAGGGATATCAACCACACGACATAATATTTTGGACTGTTCACTGAACACAAAAATATATTTGATGGCACTTCCACCATCTGCTAGCTACATGCTTAATTAATTATTTCTTTAAAAAAATCGTACCAAAGTTGACATAGATGGATGGATGTTTGTTAGAAGGTATCTCCAGAATGACTGTTTAGATCTCGCTGAAATGTGTCATAGATGTAGAACATAGCTTGGAAAAACAAATAGGCTACTAAGTATTTATTTATCTCGAGCTGACTGAGTCGAGAGCGACAGCTAGTATACAAAAGTATCTGTAAGACACTAGTTGGTAGTAAGTAATGAGTAATGTAACGTACACTTGGTGCCGACAGTAATGTTGCGCACGTAGTCGCGGCGGCGCAC